ACAATTTCCGCCCCCGAACACCGGAAAACGCGGAAAATGTTTTCCGGAAAAATATTTTTCCTCAAACGAACACAGCCTTAGTAAGTGAAGATTTTTGTTATTGCCTTATTATGGATTTCTGTTTGATTTGAACCGGTGTTTATCATTTGATTGCTCAATGTCGTATTGTCAATGGATATCTAATTTTCAAAGAGTGTGTTTGTCCCCTCAAGGAATATAAAAAAATGAAACAAAAAAAAGAATCAATTGGTCCCTGGATTATGTACTGAACAGGCCCAACTCGAACCATGCTCACCCTCAAATCCTAGTGCTAATCTTTTCCATTTATAAATTAATAGAATTTTTCGTATCACAATATTTACGAAAATTTCACTAGGATTGACGTGGTAATGGAATATAGGCAACGGCGGCGGCGGCTGTGACATCCGAAACTTTCTTCGTAGTTTATGATATTTAAGAGGTTAAGTAGTGAGAGTTATTCAGATAATAAAATTAGTTTAGTGATTATCAACAGGGACCGATACGCTCCAAAATACATATCGAATGATTTTCAAACATTAAAATTTTATTGATTTAATGTGTCACTTTTGTTCTATACTTTTTATTAATGATTTTAGTGGTTTCAAAACAATTTTCTGATTTATCGGTATTTCAAACGAATACCGATTTCTCTGTTTATTTACCGCAATGTATAGAATCTACCCAAAATAACCTAATATCTCCAACTTTTCAATTAAAATATGCCATTTGTCACTATATTAGCATGGACAAATGTCTTAACTCTCACCTTGCCTTTGCCACATGCCTAAATTGAAATGCATTGAACCTAAGTCTATGACCTCATGCATGACATATTACATTTTTTAACTCTAATAACTTATTATCTAAATGTAACTCTAGTTTTTTGGTATTATTATTTTTAACCCAAGCCATTTAATGTGACCCCAAACTACTATTCATTGTGGCAAAATTATGGAAGACAATAGACTAAAAGCATCTCTTCTTCTTCTTGGGCGTGAACATCGCTTCCTTCCACTTCTTCAAGTTGCAAATTTTTCTTTTTTCCACTCTATTTCAACAAAAAAAAAATCAAAGTTCAAGCTCACTTTCATTCTAGTTTCTTGACAAGGTATATTTATAGACTTCCCTTTCATTTTTCTTTACCAAATAAATAAGCTTTGTTGTTTTCTAAAAAATAGGACTTGTTTATTTTTTTTTAGTATCTATTTTGATTTCAAGTTGGTTAGAGGCTTGCTTTGTGGAAGATTTTACTTTGGGTAAGTGAAAACTCTAAGGATTAAGCTAGAATGATTTTTTTAGTACTCTTGAGCTTGGTTGATTGTTGTTTGTTTATTTAGTTTGGATTTTACTCTATGTGTGAGCAAGTTTCAATAGTTGTATGTTAAGCTATGGTGATTGTTGAGCTTGAAGTAAAAAAAATTTCACATGCTTGGGTGGTCTTTGAGAGATTACTAAACGGTTTATTGCATTTTGAGTAGGAAAAGTGTGAAAATGGTAAAACTAGGCATAAAAAGGGTATTTTGGTAATTTTTCATGTCAAGGTAAGGGGCAATTTGGAAATTACAGAAATGAAAGGGGGCTGTGAGCAGGGTTATTTTATGATTTTTAATGTTAATTAGTGGGTTATTAAGTAATATTACTTGAAGGAAATCAAACCGGAAAAAAAAAAGAGTTTATAAGCTTTAGGGGCAAATTTGTAATTTCACCAAGTTGAGGGGCGAATCTGTAAAAACTGGAAGTTCTGGGGACTGTTCACCGCATGTGGAACATCATTTTGATAGGTGGTTAAGTTATTTTTTTAGAAATAATTGCTTAATTAGGACATATGTCTAGTTATGTAAAATTGGAGCAATTTGTAATAATTAATTATAAGTGGGCAGTTTTGAAAATTTTGTAAAATATGTGGTGTCTATAGTGTAAATAAAATGTTTGTGTGTTTTAAAGAACAAAAATAATATCCTTTAGTTTTTAATTTAATTATTACAGCTTGGTTGCTTGAAAATCATTAGTTAGGGTTAAAATTACAAAAATTTTACTAGGAAAATATTCTAATTCTAAGAATTTGGAATTGTAGAAATAATCTCTAATATATGTGGTAAAAGTGAACTTAATCAAAGGTCGTTTTAAAAAAAATGAAAATTAGATGAGTTACTCAATTATGAAGTAGCGGTGCTTAATGTTATAGAACTCGTAAAAGTTCTCTTCTAAATGATATTGGCTTGGTAAAAAGAAAAAGAAAGTTTTTATGTTGAAAGGTGCATAATTAATCAATTGGCTTATACATTATGTGAATTGCCAAAATATTAACGTGTAGTTGTTTGCATTCGTAATTATGAAAATATGTGGCATTTTATAGTGATATGATTAATTGTGTATATCTTTAATGCTACATGATTATGACCTTTGCCATAGCCTATTCGCCACCTAGCGAATTCCCTTATACGAGTATGTATATGAGATTCTGGAGTTAACCAGATATTATACCGTACAAGACGGTCCTCTCCAAGGTTGAGATAACATAAAATTATATGATGACATGACTTTTGCAGTCATGGTGTGACATGGCTTGTGTAGCCATGATATGATGCTAAGAAATTGCCAACATTATGCGGATCTACGGTAGTGTATTTATCCTCGCTAATGTAGAAGATACTCGGGATGGATAGGCTTAGAGGCGTGGCAAATGGGTATGTATGTTGTCGTCCCCCATGAGTTGGTGGTGACGATACCTCATTAATCGAGATGACTCGTAAATCGAGATGGTCATGGCCAGTGACGAATATGAACACATATGTGAAAATCGATGAGATGTATGTGATATTTGTGATATATAATATGCCATCCGATTACACATGAGTAATTGATTTTATGCAATATTATTGTTGTTTCATTAACATGTCATGATTGGAAGGGTAGTACCTTTATTCATGTATTTTGTACTACCTTGAACTCACAATTATTGTTGATATTAGGTTGAGTAGTGAGTGAGTCTTTTCGTTAGATTTAGAGATTTCAATTACTAAACCTTGGCTCACTTCTTATTTTTCAGATATGTAGGATGAATTCCTCACCACCACCGCGTTTTGGAGCTCCCATGTTTTTCGATTATAGTTATGAAGATATAATATACTTGGAGCACCAGTAGTTTATACTAAGTGTGCTTCTGTTATATGGTTCGATGTGGGGTTACCAGAGTATATCCTCTATCGTCATATCGCTTGGTATGTTAATATCGAGGGCGAGTTGCTTGGACCATTTAGAGGCTTTAATGGCCCTCCAGGTTTTGGCAATGATGGCTCGTCATTGGGTGAAGTTGTTGACCCTTAGTTGATGGTCCGACAGTGTACAGGTAAGCTTTGGGCGTAGAAGTATAATGTTATAGTTAGGTGATCCTGACCCTTCCTAGGAATTATGTATTTTGTTTTTTTGTCTGAATGTTGTATTGTAAAACTTGTGATAATGTATATAAAAAGATGCATATGTATGATATTAAACTTGTATGGAATTTTGTGAATGATTTAATATGCTTCCGTGTGCTTTAATAATTATAAATAAAAAAAATTGGAAAAGACACGTATCGTGCATGACTGTTTGGGGCGTCACAGCGGCAATAGGGATAGAGTGGCAGTGGCAGTGGCAATGGTTTAATGAATGTACATAAAATGTGGGTTATTTGGGTAGATTTTATTATTGTCACGTTGGTATAGATCGATTATGGTATATCATATGTGAAGCATCTTGTTAACGATTGCTCATGGACACTTGTTAAGCATATTAAATAAGAAAAAATATTTTGATTTTCAATATATTGATCACACACATCACAAGAGAAATATTACATTAAAAATTATAGATCTTCCTTAGAGTGTGTTTAACAAATGCACCGGGGGCTCAAAATTCACAAAAGAATTATGGTTCAATATGGATTAAACATAGCGATAGGCAAGAGGCCGACCCAAAGAAGACGAATGGCCCGCCCCGCCCCAATTATATATTTTCCAAAAATATATATTCTCTGCATATTTAGTTAATCTCAGTCTTCTCTACCTCAATTCACCATTTCGTCCTCAGGATGCAATCGGTCATGGAAAAATATAGACGATAACTACAGATAATATATCCAATAGATTATCATAAATATTTTGTATATTCAGTTAAATAATAGAGATGGTAATTCAAAAAATAATTTTCAAATAGAGATTATCAATAGAACTAACGGTATCAAAAAATAATCCATTTAAAGTCACAACTTTTCATAATAAAGTATACTTAATTATATTATGCAAAATAAATTTCCGTTTAACTTTACGACATATAACGATAAAATAAACTACCACAGTTAAATTGATATATCTCTAACATAATTTTTAACTGTATTTATACTACTACTAAAAATTGGCAGGCCAAATAAAACAATCTTTCATTTTTTCTACGTCGCGAGTGGTCAATATTAAATTTAGACATTTGCAAGTCTTTTTTTTGTAATTTATTGCTTAAATATACGTCAGCATAGGGATATATTCACCAATTTCTTATAAGAGAATATTGCTGAAAATTTTCAACTACAGTTACGCAGGGCAGGGCCCTTTGGGGCAATATGCCAAATGCCCCGCCCCGTGCGGCATGGGGACGGGACGTGATCCCTAACCCCGCCACACCCCGCTGGCCCGGCCCGGCCCCGCCCCTAGTGCCCATCCCCTGTTAAATTAGGTCAATTTGGTCTAACCCAAATATGACCCAAATCCACATCCGAGTCGAGCCATCCGCTTACCATCTCCATTCAGAACACACGTATCTCCAAACGGTCACCCTTCTAGGCCATATTAAGAAGTTCATCTGCAGTAGGCCATACAAGTTTCAATGGTAAACAGCCAATGCAAATCCACAAGACATTGAGAGCAATTGTCTTAGCGAAGTTGGTCACAGCATTGCTCAAAACATGGCTGACAAAACACAGTGAGTAGTATAGTCTGGCGCCATTTATCATTCAAACTTCATTCACAATGACATTCAGCCGCATGGCAAAAACAGTTTAAAGCATCTCAATTTGGCCCAAAAGAACATAAAATTCATCTATGAAGTAAACCCAAGCAGATTTGCGGGTTAGACGGTGTCGGCAAATTGCTCTTTATGCACATTGCACAGCTAAAGTAGTTCAACAGGATACCCACAAACTGAATCCTACGGCTCGACCATTGAAACCTGGATCCACTCGCCATCGACAGCTTCGTTCCACAGAGTGACATTGTTATTCCCATCTGCCACCGCCAAAATGTTACCGGTCAGGGACCACGAGACCCTCCAAACCGGGGTCCTAAAATCGTACAAAACCTTGCCCTGCCATTGATCCCCTTCCTTGGCCACGGTCCATATGATGACCCTCCCGTCCTGCGACGCACTCGCAATAGTTGATTTCGGAAGGCCCAAGTTGGGTGCCCAGGCAACGTCCCTCACCCAGTCAGTGTGCATCTGAAGCGCCGGAAAACAGTCCAACTTCCAGACCCCATTGTAGAGCTTCCACACCTTCACGGTGTTATCACAACCACCCGAGCACAGCTTCTGAACAGGTTCCATCATGCCAGATCCAACAAGTGCACCAGGGGCAGTCGATGGAGCCCACGACACGGAGGTGACCCCGACCGGATGAGCCTGGTCAATCCTTGAAGTATCCCAACCGCCATCCTGTCTAGCAGTGAACACCGAAATATTCCCATCGGACGAACCACAAGCCAGACAAAGGCCAAGCTCATGAGGAGCCCAAGCGACGGAATTGACCGATGATATGTGCTCTTCAAATACGTGCACCTGGGTCCACTCATTCGGATTACCTTCTCTCCATACGATGACCCGTCCATCATACGAGCACGAAGCAAGCAAAGACCCGAACTTCGGATGAGCCCAAGATATCTGCCAAACGGGTCCTCGATGGCCGGTCAGGGTGGCAAGATGCTGAGATCCCGAGTTGCTGACTCCAACAATGTTAATAGTGTGGTCCGACGACGCCGTGGCCAGTCTCTTACCATAGTAATCCATCGCCAGATCATGGACCGTGTCTTTGTGTCCACTTTCGATCCTTTGCAGAGGCATCTTTCAAGTAATTCTGCAAAATTAAACAAGACGCACAACCAAATTATAGCTCCTGTTCACTTATCTCCCGCTAAAAGGGTCCAAAAACATCAGCTAAAGACTAGGGATCTGTCAACATTGCGTTAAGAGAATGATCAGCAGAATTACACCAACTTCTAGCCTTCAATTCGCGTTTCATCGAACAATCGAGCACGACATTTTTTTCAGACCCGAAGAAACCATCAACTAACATTCATCATGTACCCTTAAACCAGTATAACCAAATCCCTACTCTTTGATGGAAATATTGGGATGACAAAAGAAATTCCAGAGGGAAAACTAAAACGCCCAACCGAGTGCATGGCAAGATGGCGAACTGTAATGACTGAATCTGAGATCTAACGATCGTTAAAACTTAAAACCTCCAATAAAGCTTTCGCGAAACACCCACAACCCAAGCAAATCCGCAGCAGAAATTGCAACAAAAACAAAAAAAGAAAAAAATCCGAAACAAAACAACCCTCCGGCTAAATATGCGGATACCATACAGAGGTTGGAGATCGTGGACGTCGTCTTGCAGCTGCTCCCCTGGTCGCCGCTTTGCTCCGCCGGCGTCCACCCCCAGAGTCGCCGTGCCTTGCTGCAGAGAGAGAGAGATGCGGAGGGTTTAAGACTTGGACAACCTCGTAGATTTGACTTTTGGGCTTTGGGGGAGAAATCGAGGGAGGACGGGAACGGACGAATTAAAGATATCGCTTAGTCTAGAGAGGGTTCATGTTTTCGGTTAATATCACGAAAATTATCAAATTAATTTTTTAATTATCAAAATTTTAAATTAGTATATTTATAATAAATTATTATTAAATTGCTGAAATGGATGATACTTAGTAGTTGACGAGTGTACTAATTTGAGATTTTACTCTCCGTTTATTATAAATGTACCAGTTTGTGGTATTAATTTAATTTAATGAAAACTACGGAGGGTAAATTTGTCAAAAATATATCAATTTAGATATTTTAGTGGTCAAAAAATTAATTTGGGATAAATTTATCACAGATATATCAATTTGGGGCTTTTCATAGTATTAATCATTATCTTTATTTCTAAACTTTGGAGGTTATTATGTTTGGACTTTTAAAAATTAAGATGTAAGTATTCTTACTCTTTTGGGAGAATTTAAAAATATTATTTAAGTTTATCAAAATAGGTTCATGTGAATCTAACTACGTGTCAACATTTAGATGCTTTGAAAGTTTGGGATGCTTGAAATCAAACAAAGTCACGGCGTTTGTGCCACGTGATTTGAAAAAAATAGAAAGTAAAAATAATCCAAAAACAAATTTATGCATGACTCTGGTATAATCTCTCAAATAAGCCAAAACAACTAAGGCGTGTCAATAATTCATTGAAGAAACATAAAATTTTATATATATGGCCATAAAATTTAGGAATAAAAGTGAAAACCATCTCCAAGTTTTGCACTCATATGAATTTGATAATTCACTTTCCAAAATTAATCACTTGCAACTCTAGACAAAATCTCAACCTAAAAATAACAATTTATCCTTATGCAAAGACAAAACTAAATATCCCCCAGCCTCCCGACGATCGAGAAGCGCTCACGGTGGCACGAGATTTGGATGACCGGTTAAGTTTAGGTCTTAGATTTGTGTAGGTGGCCTTGATCTAATACGTGAAAATCGAATATGGGACCTCCAATTTTTTAATTGAAAATCCCATGACGTTCTAACCAACTATGCTAAGCTAGACATCAATTAATTATATCATTTGATATAAAAACATATCATTTAAAAATGTATTTAAGAATGTTGAAAATAAACTATATTATTTAAAGACATTTTCATTTGTCCATTTTTTTAAAATTTAGAATGAATTATTAAAGAGAAGTTTAATATGACAAACCAATAATTAAATGATGGGATAAGTTAACTAGAAGTCTTAAAACTTGTTATGAAAGTGCTATTGAGTCCTAAAACTTTCAAAAAGTGCAATTAAGTCATAAAAATTTTCAAATTGATGCAAGCAATTCCTTCCATTAACATTGTTAGTTTGACTAACAAAAAATGCTGACATGGCATTTTTTATTATTTTCTTCATAAAATATCACTTAAATTAAAAAAATAAAAGGGTAAAATTTTTAAAAAACCAAACTAAAAATAAAAGAACGACAGGGCCCTTGCCCAAATGGCACCACCGCCGCCCCATTGCCTAGGGGATACGGGCTACCTCGACCCATGTGACATTCAAAAATTCCTACATCAATTACTAATATGTAGGAAATGAAGACGATAATTGTCACAAGTAGAAATCCCAGTTGGATTATCAAATTTATCATGCGCGAGAGCAAAATGTATTTATGTATCCGTGACTTTCGGAATGTGATTCCATTATGATGTAATTACTAGGCATTTGTACATAGGTTGATTATACAAAGTGAGGTGAACCACGCATCGCCATAGTAATTGTTGGCAAGAATCAATATGCTCTAAAATATTTATCGAATAATTTTCAAAGTTAAAATTCACTAAGTTGAGATTTTCCTAACGTTCGATAGCTTTTGCAGATAATTTCATTGAGTTTAAAATATTTTTCTGACTTATCGATGTTCAGAACGGGCATTGATTTTCTTGTGTCTTTCAAGAATTGCAAACTATCTTAACAAAGCATCAAATATCTTCTTTTTTAAATCAACCAAAGTAAGCCACTTGTCACCCCTTCACTTGAACACTTATATTGATTCTAGACTTGGTATTTACCCCACATGCTTGTATTTGTGCCATTGAACTTAGTCATCAAAATAACATCAATCATGACATTTTAACTTAACCAAGGTTTGTAACAATCATTACTAGTGAAGTTAAGAACAAGAAAAGAAAAGAATACCCTCTTTCCCCTTTCTTGGCCGAGACATCACCCCCTTCAATTTCCTCTTCAAGAATTGCTTCATCTCCCCATCTTCCATGAACGAAACAACTTTTTCCAATTCGAATTTTCGATCGACCTCTAACTGTCTTATTAATTTGTGATTTTAGTCTCAACTTTCAAGAGTCTTACAAAGTGATTAAAGGCTTTGGTTGTTCAAGATCCCATTCAAAGTAAGTGAAAACTCTAGGGGTTAAGTTAGATTGATCTACTTAGTACTCTTGACTTGGTTGGTTATGTTTGTTAGTTTAGTTTAAATTTGATCTTAAGTGCAAATAGGTTCCAAGATTTACAATTAGAGTTATAGTGATTTCTTGTCTATATTGAAATCTTTAATGCATGCCGAAAAGGTGTTTGAAAGAATACCCAAATGGTTTTGTTGCACCTTAGATGGGAAATAATAAGAAAATGGTAAAACTAGGCATAAAAAGGGTATTTTGGTATTTTTCTTGTCAAGGTATGGGGCAATTTCGAATTTACAGAAATGAAGAGGGGCTGTGAACAGTGTTATTTTATGAATTTTAGTGTCATTTAGTGGGTTTTTAAGTAATATTAATTAAAGGAAATCAAACCGGTTTTAAAAAATGAGTTTATAAGCTTTAGGGGCAAATTTGTAATTTCACCAAGTTGAGGGGCGAATTTGTAAATACTGAAAGTTCTGGGGACTGTTCACAGTGGAGGAACCTTATTATGATAGGTGGTTAAGTTATTTTTAGAATTAATTGCTTAATCTAGACAAAGTATCTAACTATGCAAAACTGGACCTAATTGTGTAATTAAATTGGAAGTGCGTTGTTTTGGCAATTTTATAAAATATGTGGCATGCCCATAGTGTAAATAAAATACGCGTCTGTTTTAGATGAAAAATAAATAACTCTGGGTGTTTAATTTAATTAATATGGCTTGATTAAGTGAATATATGAAATGGCAAAACTAGATTCGATAATCATAATATTTTTGTAATTCGACTAAGTTACCGAAATACTAACTAAGTATTACTGATTAATCACATGGTCGATTCTTTGAGTTGTCGATGTTCATATTGTCAATTGTTATGTGTGTTATGAAATGTATGTAAATGATGCCACGTGATTAAGACCTTTGCCACGACCTATTTGCCACCGAACGAATTCTCTTATATGACTATATGGATGAGACTTTGGAGTTAGCCAGATATTCTACCGTATGAGATAGTTCTCTACAAGGTTGAAATGACATGAAATCCTATGATGACATGACTTGTATAGTTATAGTATGACATGGATTGTATAGCCACAGTATGATGTTAAGAAATGATCATCATCATGCGGATGGTGTATTTATCTTCGCTGATGTAGATGATACCCACAATGAATAGGCTGAGGCGTGGCAAAGGGTATGAATGATTCCGTTCCCCACGAGTTGGTGGTGACGATGCCTCGTTACTTGAGATGGTTCTGGCCAGTGACGAATATGAACTCACCTGTGTATATTGGTGAGCTACTAGGATGATACTTGTGCATTATGAAATGATATGCCATTCGCTTGTATTTAATGAATAATATTATGCAATGTTATTAATGATTTCTATCATCATATCATGATAGAAAAGGCAATGCATTTACTTCCTCACTTGCAAAACGAAATAATCATGTACTTGTCTTGAACTCACGTTATTTTGTTGATGTCCTTGCTACTAAAGTGGGAAAGTGATGAGCAATTTGAATATTTGGTTGAAGAGGTAGATTTTGATGTATATTATGATGCATGCTCGTAGAAGATGAAATGTTTAACATGTCGTACTTGGGTTGGACGACAAGTGCTTGAATCATACATGATGCGTATAGTCCTTCTCGAGTATTATTCTGTTATGAATACAAGATTAATTAAGAATCGGTTATATTTATATAGATAGTGAAAGGCCTTTCTCTAATTATAGTGATTCCTATAAGTGTTTTGTGATGAAATATTGGTTGTTTTTATGTTGTGGTGCTTCCCGGTTGAGCGGTAGGATGATCTTCTACCTTAGACCTAGAGAGTTCATTTACTGAGCTTAGGCTCACCCCAATATATTTTACAGATTTATCAAGTGAGGAGTTCAAGGGCATTAGATTAATGCTTCTGAAGATCACTAGTAAGGATCGGAGTGCACAGCGAAAGTGGAGATAGGTTTCTACATGGTATAGGAGGTTTTGATGTATATTAGTTAAAGTTAAATTATTTGTACAATTGAGGATAAGTTAGTTATTTATCGAAAGTGAAGTTAATTTATATACAAATGCGAGGTTCAAATTTTATGAAAATTCGGGATGTTACAATTCAAACCTAGGCGAGCCTCGCCGGCCCGTGCCTAGGGCCAACAAGGCCTCACTTGGGGCTAGCAAGGGCCGGCATCACCCAATCGCCCAGATTTGGGCGAGCCTCATTGGCCCTTGTCTAGGGCTATCGAGGCCTCACCCTCTCCTAGGGTTGGGAGGGCAAGTGACCTCTGCCTGCCCTCTCTGGTTATGGGCAACGACAGTGCCCCTTCGAAGAGGGCTTTGCTCGTTTATTTTTAGTTTGATTTTTTTAAAATAAATTTTTAGCATTTTTTAGTTTTTTAATCTAATTTAGATAAGATTTTGAGAAGAAAATAATGAAAAGCTACAATGTAGGAGAAATAAAATAATAATAAAAAATGTCACGTCAACGTTTTCCGTAAGCCAAATTGACGGTGTTAACAAAAGGATTTGATTGTACAAATTTGATAAGTTTTAAGAC